AACTGAACTGCTTAGCAGCGGTTCTCAACCTGTGGGTCGTGCCCCTTTTGGCGGTCAAATGACCCTTTCACAGGGGTTGCCTAAGACCATCCTGCACATCAGATATTTACATTATGATTCACAATAGTAGCAACATTACAGTTATGAAGTAGCAACGAAAATAATTTTATGGTTGTGTCACAACATGAGGAACTGTATTGAAAGAGCCAGAAGGTTGAGAACCACTGACCTAGAGTGTGTTATACTAAGTGACATAAGTCATACAGATATAGACAGATACCATATGATTTCACTAGCATGTAGAATCTAAAGAGCAAAATAAAAAAACAAAATAAAAACAGACTTCAGTCCAACTTAGCCACAAATCAGTTTTCAAAGCTCCATCATCAGTTTCAATTAGCCATTCAGGGAAGGGTGCTTGGAGGAAAATGATGAATGTCATTCATTTCTTTAGTCACACGACATCCCTGGAAGTGATGAAAGCCCAGGCAGAAAAACCGCCAGTGGTGTCAGGCATATGGACTATGCTGTGTTATTATACACTAACAAGTTGTAATCAATATGTAAGAGAGTGCATATATGTTTTTGTTTGTTTTAGTTGCCTACTCTGTGCCAACCACAGTGTGGGTGCTGGGCAATCAGAAATAAATGAGACTCAGTTGCTTTCCCACAGGCATGCTGCCTGGGGTGACCTGGAAAGAGAAAGGACAGACTGAGTAGGTTGGCTGGGAGGTTTTTGGTTTATTTTAATTTTCATATTTGATTTAACCCATTATACCAAAAACATAGTTTTGCCAATATACACAATTGAGATATTTTACTATCTTTTCTTATACGTCTTCAAAATCTGGTGTTTTATATGGACAGCACATCTCAGTTTGGACTAGCCACATCTCAAGAGCTCAATAGCCATGTGAACCTAAATAGTATGGAAAGACGTTGTTCTGCACCCTGTGTCCTGTGAATAGCGTTTCACTGCTCAGATCCAAATCTGACTCCACCCTTTTTACCCAAGTACCTGGCTGGTGTTTTATATGGACAGCACATCTCAGTTTGAACTAGCCACATCTCAAGAGCTCAATAGCCATTTGAACCTAAATAGTACGGAAAGACGTTGTTCTGCAGCCTGTGTCCTGTGAATAGTGTCTCACTGCTCAGATCCAAATCTGACTCCACCCTGTACAAATTAAATAGGAATATTTTGCTCCTTTCCTCAACTCTAAAATAACACTAGTTGTCTACCCTGATCTTGAGGGCATTCTGTAGGTGAAATGGAAGCTACATAACACAGAGCTCTGTATCTGGCATGAGGAAACCCTCAGTGAAGTTTTGTAATATTATGGTTACTCTCCTAATCACTGTCATGATCATAACCATAGCATTCATGATCCTATTGGAATGCTAAGGGAATGAAGAAGTCCAGTTCCCGCTCTTGTATGGGCAATGACTTTGGAAGGTAAGAATGGTAGTGGAGAAGAGCAGAATTCTGAATGAGAGTTCTAAAATCCCCAATGGAAAAAATAACATAAACTTCATAGGCCTCTGAGTTGTAACTTTGCTTGTCAATGCCCTCCTATCTGGCTATCTCAGCTGTCCTGCTGCCTTGATAATGAGAAAACCAGTTTCTCCATAATTCCTCCTCCATCCACCATTTCTGGCTATCTCAGCTGTCCTGCTGCCTTGATATCAAGTCCAAACTTGATAACCAGTTTCTCCATAATTCCTCCTCCATCCTTTGCCACTCACTGGTTTGTGCTGTCTCTCCGCTGAGTCATGATCTAGGAGTTTGGATCCACTGCCCTCTCCTGCCCGGTAATGAGAAGGCTGAGACTCTGTTCTCAGGACTGGCATGAAGACAGACTCAGGCATGGATCTCTGGATGCAGGTCTCAATTCTGGAAGGAAGAGCCACACATATGACTCTTGACTGGGACTGGCAGCCTGTATGGCCTTGAGAGCTCAATGCACAGAGCTAATAATTAGTGAAATTGGTCCATGTTTTCCTAACCTCTGGGGACTTCCTAATATTAACAGAAGAGGAAACAGAGAATAGTGAATGTACTTAGAAGGGGCTGGGACTTTCCTCTTCTCAGGAGAAAGCGCATCTGTACACTTTGCTTCTGACTTCCAGTTTCAAGAATGTTAACATAGAATGCAGTCTTTTCACAATTTATGACTTTCTGAGTTTGACATCTGCAAAATCATTGTATTAATCATGTGAATTAGGGGCAATTAGGCCTCTCTGACAAAAACCTATAACTATTTCCATTTTCTTTGTTAAGACTTCTGTCTTTAAAAAGAAAAGTCTATTTCCCTTTTTTAGGTTTTATTTTTAATAGATACAAGTATTGTATATGGAGGGTTTACTGTGTGCAAGGTGCTCTTTGCAGCACTATATATTTATGATCTCTTTTTTCACTTCTTTTTTCTTGAACTTATTGGGGATGACATTGATTAATACAATTATATAGGTTTTAGATGTACTTTTCTATAATATGTCACCTGTATCTTGTATTGTGCGCTCAGCACCCCAAGTCAAGTAAGGGATTTTTTGGTTATTTACATGACAATCCAAGTTCTGATTTTTCTCATTCATTGATGTTTTGGGTACACTAAAAAACTACTGACTTTCTCTTAAATTAAGAAGGGTACCCAACAGAGTGCAATCAAAGTGTTAGCTAGGGTTGCAGCCCCCTCAAAGTTTGACGGGGGTTGATCTATTCCAAGCCCACTCACTTTTGGAAGGAGGGAGTTCCTTGTGGGCTGTTGGCCAGAGGCCTTCCTCACTCCTCTGCCTAATGGGCCTCTCACAGGCAAGCTCATGCATGGCTGGGCTCCCATAGGACAGGTAACAAGAGAAAAGGACCAGGAACATAAAGCCTTTTTGCACCCTCATATCAGAAGTGACATCTCATCAGTTTTGCCATGTTGTGTTGGTTGGAAGCAGGTCAGTAGGCCCAAGGCACACTCCAGAGGATGGGTCTCCACAATAGCTTGAATACAGGAGCAGAGGTCATTGGGCGCATATTGGAATCTGCCCACCATACAGGCCTCACCCTCCCTCAGGACATTGGTCTCTAAGGACCACAACCCTGGAGAAATGACTGCTTTCCAGCCTCACCCGCAATCCATGACACCACAATGCTCTTAGCAAAATTTCCCTGCAGATATACTGGCATATGAGTAGAAATTGCCTCTATTTTGGTGTTTCTGCAAGCCCCACCATGTTCCCTCAGGACACACAGTCCAAAAAAGCCAACATGGTTTCCCTGCCATCACCAGGATCCCTCACATCAAGCTGTAGCCATTCTGTGCCCAGATTCAACAAATGTCTCCAATGGCTTCTGATTTCTGTCCTTGAAAAGAGCTTATCCTATTCCAGGATGAATTTTTCTTTAGCTTTGTGTCCACAGATCCTAAAATTTAAATAAGTGTGTTTGGGGCCTATTTCGTGTTGTTGTGTTTTGTTTTTTTTTTCCAATTGATAAAGTGAGTATGGGAATGATGGCACTTCACAACCTCCCACATCCTACTCATGCAGTCCTCCTGCCTCAGATAACTCTGGACGAGGAATTTAGAGATCGGTCTGTCATTAACTGATAGGAAAATAAGTGTGGCAAAACCTAGTTGGTGATGTAGGAGATACCAACCTCTGTTGCCCCACAAAGATCAACAATTACATCCATGAACAAAAACAGCTCTGGAAGAGCTCAAGAGTCCACTATGGGACGTCAGCAACACAGTGGAACAAAACACCTGAGAAGAACCACACAAAAGGAAACAAAGACCAGCTTCATAGTTCCTGCATCATGCCATCACCCAGGCCTCACTACTCAGTAACAACAGGAAACTCCAAGCTAGAAAGAGTTGTTAACCTGGTGGAAGGAGGGAGAGTAGAGTGAGCAACTAGTTTACCAAGCATTTTAGTGCCCCTTAGAAAAGACTTATTTTATTTTCATTCCACACAGAGAATGGCAAAGCTTAGACATAAAGACACAGCTAAAAGCAAAGAAGAGCATGGATTGCCACAATAGGATGTAGGAATGAATTAAAAATGGACAAAGAGACCGATGGTACAGAATCAAGAGCCCAGAAATAAACCACTGCATACACATGCAACTAATATTTGATAAGGGAGACTTATCAAATTGCTTCTGACTTCCAGATTGGTTCTCAATCTAAGGAACTTACAGGTGAAATCTGAACCAGCCGTCCATGCATGGAAAGCAGGGAGAGACCAAGGAAGCTCACTAAAGATTGGGAGGTGGCAGTTTTCATAAACCAGTGAATTTATAGAAGGCTTGTCTTGGGCGGCTATAAGACAAGTAGATCGATACACCTGCCCACCAAATCTTAAAAGTTTATCCTCCTATCTAATAATAGACAAACATGGTAATTGACCATACCTTTGCTACGCCTCCCATTGGCTAATCAGGGCAATATGCAAATTAACCCAACCAAGATGGCGGCCGGCAGCCACACAGCTGAAGTGAGTAGGAGGCTTGCTCCAGTGATGGAGGAAGC